TCATCTCATAATACATATTTTCATCTCGAAAACTCCGTTTTGTCCTTTCATTAATCTTAATTAAATTTTGTCCGCGGCATCATTTTTGTTTTTATTTACAAATCTTTTAAGTGCTATAATATCATTTTTAAAGATATATTTAAATTAATTTATTAGATAATGGATTTTTTTGCAAAAAGATTGTAAATATTTAAGAGGTTTTGTGTTTAGGTAATTAAAACAGACCATGAAGGAAAACATCGTGAGGAAACCTGGACTTATAATTTCACAATTATAAGTTTGAAATCACCAACTCGTCTTGAGCAAGTTTGGTGATTAATGCTCAAACCTTCTCCATGTGAGAAAGAGGCCTCTGCTCAGCAGTGGGCTCTGATAAGCTGAAAAAAAATACTATTATAATTATTGTTGTATAAAAAAATAAAGAAGAGAATGTTGTTAAGAACTATTTTTATCTTAAAGTGGATACTTACTTAATGAAGAGGGTGAAAGTTAAAGAAAATCAACTTCATATGTGTCGTAGAGTGTAGCTACGGCAAACCGTTGCTTAAATTTCTGAAATTTCAGACTATTGTAACAACCAGTCTTCAAACTTGACTGTTTATTTAACATTTTGATTGCCTCCAAGATGTAGGTAGGATTCTGTTTAATATTGTGTCCAAATATAACATTTTGATGCTTACTTATAATATACATATTGTAAACAGAGAAGGGTTATGTGAAATCTCCAGGGAGTAGCTCCTTGAGGTCAGCGGTTTTAGAGATAGCAATATCCTTTCACAAATAACAAGTTATAAATACAGAATTATTGCTTGTTTGATAAAACAATCTTTACCTCGCCTATAGTCTTGTTATTTGCTATTTTCGAAGAAATGGACCGAGTCATTTATCTCCATACTATTTATTATAAAAAAACTTTGTTTTATCAGGAATTCTAAATAAACAAAATAAGAGTTCTTGTTGGATTTGCCTAAATTTTAACATTAATCATACATATGTACGTAATAAATTAATTATTAGCCAGAAAAACCATAATTTAGATATTAAATAATAAATAATAATCATAATATATAATTCTAAATTACGTAGTCTGGTTACAGAAAAATTATCGTCAATGAAAATTCCTGAGTTAGGTTTAAATGATCAAATATCAATCAGAACCTTTATTAGGAACTTTTAAACCTATTATGTTTATTTGTTTATGTAAATGAGGTAATGCATTTAGCTTTCTATAAAAGAAAATCGAAGAGATTATACATAAAAAGATTTTTATAATCATTCTAGGTATAGAAATATGTCAAGGGTAGTGTTTTAAATATATACAAAAGGCTTAGAATATACGTTGAACTAATTCACTTGTAAGGATCATAAAGCTTCAAAGCCTCAAGGTTTCAAAACCTCAGCCCTTCATACTTATTACGTAACACCACATTTTAACATCTAGGAATAACATTCTGTACAAACAAAATCAAAATCAAAAGTCTAAATATCTTTATTTACAAGGAAAACACATATAAAGCGTCAAGATCATCTTAAAAATAGAATGTATCCGACGCTTCGTAGTGTCGGTTTTATCGGGATGATAAAGATAAGAAATAAGAAAAGAGTTCTCATAACAGAATATACCAAAAAGTTATTAAGGACTAACATTTCTACAACGACTATTAATTAATGTAACAAATAATTAAGAATTACCTGAAAAATACTATGTAAAACTATGATTAACCACAAAATGAATTTACGGCTTTAAAAGTATGTGTCAGTCATGGCTTCATCCATTTTTAAGAACATATTATATTTGGACATTGCATTATTAATTTTAATACTGACAAGCAAATCGTCACATTTGGTTGCATAAGCTAATTATTCTGCTCTATAGTTTTATTTAAATGGTTATGTATAAACAAAATTTTAAACAAAAACTTCCTTGATCTACATATATTGTATGTTGCCTTGTTATAAGTTACAAATTGTACGACACACTTCACGGCTTAGCCGAGATTAGTTTTAGACGGGATTATTAGGTGAGAGATTAATTTAAACAACGCTGTAGTTTGAACATGTTTTACATACAAAATATATACTATACATGAATATATTGAAACTTGGACGGCTTCTGTGATGTTTATGTTTTTAGATTTAAATGAGTTTTAAGTAAATAAAGTAAGATAATTGATGGTAAAACGAGAAAGAAGTAAACGTTGTTGCGTTTTGGAGTATCATTTCTTAAATTATAGTATATTTTATTTTATAACTATAGTAGTATTTATACAAGTCGTTTCACCTTTTGCTATTCCTTGTCATATTATATTTTAAAATACCTTTACTGACAAGAAATCTGCTTAAGTGAATGTTAATAAGACTCCTTTGGGTTAGAATTAAATTAAATTTGATTGTTAACGCCATAGAATCTAAACTATTTTCTCATCTTTAGCTAAATAAAAGAAACTAGCAATGTAGCTAGTATTGTACAGTTTAATTCGTGAATATTTTTAAAAGCTTCGTGATATTAAATACTCAATACTCATTTAATAATATAAGTGTGTTCTTTCATTTATCTATAGTGTTTGATTGTGACTTGAGAACTAAATGAAATAACAATGCGTTTTGTTACACTATTATTTATCTTTTCGTCTCTATTTAAGAATAATAACTTAATAGCTACAATGTGAAATTATCTGAATTTACTTTTATTACTATTTTTCCTTACTAAAGAATTTCTATTTGTCAGATACTATTTCTTTGTATTTTCACAAGTTAGAACCCTCTGACCTATGATTAATATAACATACACCTTGTTTATACGAGAAGGATCTTAAAATATTACATCTATATCTCATTGTTGAAGCTATAAAAGTACCGACTTTATAATTCTCTTAAGTTTTACTTAAGATATAAATTGAGAGGTATCCTTTTAACTCTCGCAAGCAAACTTATCTACAAGTTTGTTGGGAAAGTTAGACAATTAACGGATATAAATTCAACTAGACAAGTTTATTTTAGCTTTAATCATACTTATGATATTATTGAATAGAGACGCTGTTATCAACTATATCTTGTAATAAAATTTAATAGTGGTTTATGTGGGACAAGGACACAAGACTAACGCTTGAAATAAAAACAAACTTCTTTTCAGCCTTAAGGGGCAGAAAATATATCTTTCGGATTTAAGCTAATAGAATAAAACGATTGAAAAATTATGATTCGCCAACAAGTACCCTATTTATATTATAAATGAGAAAGATTTTGAGGATTTACGGATGTGGCTATGTAGAGAAGAGTGGATATACATCCATATATATACATGTGTTAAAATACTTTATGAACCTTAGTGAATCTGTAGAATAATGTAGCTTAAACATAAATATAAGATATATATCCCCCAATTCTCTGTAGTTCTCGTAGACTCTCGATTTCGTGTAGTAGGTAGCGTGACAAAAACAAAAGATGTATACGTTTTGTTTTATACATTTCTCTTTGATTCATAAATCAAACATCATTGACAGTTAAAATGTGTATAATGATTTAGTTGAAGCATGGGTGTCATTATGTTGTGTCATTGATGCTTCAATATTTATCTGAATATTATATATTACTTATTTAATTTAACATTATTATTTGAGCCTGTTTTATTCTCCTTGTCTGTGCTCACTTAAAATGTAAATTGGGTTTTTAAATATAACAATAAATTATCATATATACAAAAGTCGCAATAAAATGTTTTATACATACAATACAATATTTTTTTTTTTGTTTTCATGGATATCATAAATGTAATTTCTCCTTTAACCAACTAAAATATATAAACAAATATTGAATATATTAACAAAAGAAAAGCTAAATGTGCCAGTTAACTGGAAAGAAGAATGTTGTTATTATATTATGAGGAGTTTAATTATTTTCTTAACATTAAGTAATTGTTGAAGTAATATTTGAAATAAAATTCAAATAGTAAAAATAATGCGAATAAGTCATTCTTTAAATTTAAAAAGTAATTAAGACTGGTTAAACAACACGAATGAAACAACATGAATTTTTCATCATGTATTTTAGTTTCAAAATATGAATTTATTTTTAATTATTTTTATGTGTAAAAACTGTTGAATACATTTTAAAAGGCCTATGTATTTTCGATGTGAAACTGCTAATCATCTAATGCGACTTTCAACAAGGTCTGAGTTAAAAATGTCTAACGCTACGTACCGCTTATAAAAGCACTTTTGCGTTTTTCCGTTAAACGTTAAACGCTTTTGGAGGTCGATTAGTAAGAGACAGTGCTAGAGTGAATGGGTGGCACTTGTACGCATGCGTGAGATATATTTTATTAACTACCCACGGTTTTGTTGTTCTGCATTTTAGTCAATGTTTTATTAACTTACATATAGCAATTCATGAACAGTTACCTGGCAGATAAAATGATAGAAGCTTTTCTACTATTTTATATGGAAAAATAGTTCAAAATACGTACATATAGTTATTTAAGTAGAATTAAAGTGCTTGGTTAATTTAAATTTGAGATGTTCTTGTGATAAAAATATGTTTTTCTTTTCTGTTTCAGGTTCTTTAGTAAAAAAACAGTGAGAGTTGAAACTTATTAGCCAAAAATATATAGTTAAAAATTATAGATGTGTATTTAAATATATTCTCATATAAAATATTATTCTAATATTAGGCTTCCAAAAACACCAATGTTTAAAATCCTTAAAATATTTATCAAAATTATCGTAATCATAAATCAGTATTATTAAATATAAAAAATAAATTAAGAAGAAATTAAAAAATATATTTCTTATTCATCAATAACTTTACAATAAAAAATATATACGTATTTAAATCAAATAATATTTACTTATATATAAATAAAAAAAATATTTATATAAATATGAACGAATTTAAAAAAAACAAAACGTAATAGAGTGGGGCCAATGTGAATGAAACCGAATTTAGAAGAATAAATCGGATATTGGAGATAAAATATACAGCTTAAATAATACATATTAAACATGGCATCGCCGTCTTCAACACCGAAAGCGCCATCGCCGCCTCCAGGCCACGGACCGAGCAAAATGGAAAGAAGAATGTCTCACTTCAAAGAATATAAGTTCTTCAGAAGTTTCAGCGCCAAAATAGAAAACTGGCCGATGAGAAAAGCGGAGCAGCTATGGCGGAAAATGAGAGAAAGAAAAATCGCAGGTACGTTTTATAATGATTGTTGTATTAACTTAAAAATAGTTTATTTATTTGCTTTGTTAGAATTAAAAAACTATCGCCCAACGTGGGGCTCGAACCCACGACCCTGAGATTAAGAGTCTCATGCTCTACCGACTGAGCTAGCCGGGCAGTTAGAAATATTAACCAAATTAATGACTAGTACACAATTATGTATGATATTCATTAAACAATAAACATATTTCAAAAAGAATCTTTATATCAAAATATATAATTACTGGCAATATTGACAGTTAATGCAAAAAAAATCACCATTTACTTAGTAATTTAATATGACATTCGAAAAGCATCATAGCCAGCATAGATACAGATATAAAATTTATGATATATACTAAATATGACCATTATTAAAGCAGTAAACCTTATTTAAAGAAACAAGACCATGATACTATCTTTAAGGGCGGTATTCGTGTTATCTTAAAAGCTTTAAGAAAGGTCTTGTGAGGACCATAAAGTGTAAAGATATAAAATGACATAAACATTTACATGATGCATATATATTTAATAGGTTTGTGAGACAGAATGATTTTCTATCTCACTCATCAAGAGTTTGAATTTTAGAAAAAGTTAAACCAAATTTATTATAAATACGAACCAAAAAACTGTTTTAACATTTCGTACACAGACGATAAACAGATTTGAGATTAAGAGTATACTCAAATCTATTTATCCATTTTAGTTTTTTTATATACATCATCAAAATAGAGTATTTTGAAATGAATTATCTAATTTAGTTCAAATCTCTTATTGGTCTTTAAGATCGGACTGATGTATGAAAACCTATTTATCAATATGACAGATTTACCACATGCGACCTTTTTTCAATCACAGTGATTGATATCGAAAAGTAACATATATTAAAAACAATTTTAAGTTTTAAGGAAGTTATTGAGAAATATATAAAAAAATGTAATATTTAAATTCAAAATAAATATAAAGTTTAGTTAATAAGATTTGATCTTGACAACTTTTTCTACGTATGTGAATTTTTTTCTAAAAACTTTTATTAGTACAAATACAATAAAAAAGAATTTTAAATCACCAGGGAATATAAGGATGTGATATAAATTTTCAAATGTATTTTTTTCAATATGACAATTTATTAAACATTACTGTATATATATACTCCTAACAATGATTGAAGGCATATTAATAATATATTTAAGAACAATTAGTATGTCAATTAACAGGAAAATCTGTAATGAGAGGAAGCAATAAAGGCGTTTCTTAAAACAATGATTGTTTAGACGTTACACAAGCTTCTGGGTAATATTCAAGAGTATTGTTACTAAATTTTAAAATTAACAATGTTCATACTAAAAATATAATTGTAAATCTATGAGTATCTGTTCCTGATTTCCAAATACCTGATAATGTTTTCATAACTGGTTATTTACTACATAACATAAAGAACTTTTTCATAATTTTTACTTTATACTCGATCGTTAATTTGGAAGTTGCTAAACAGATTTCCGTAGTTATTCTAATGGATAATGGAGTAATTGTTTTGGTTAATTTTAATACCAGAACTATTTAGGATTCCAAAGAACTAAAAAGTATGCTGAAATCTAATATCTCGTACCAATAGCAAGTTAATGACTCATACATATACGAAATGATGAACTATCTTTCATCTAATATGGCTATTTAAATTAGAATTATTATAGAAATACGATACACATATGTAGTAATGAACCATCTATGTATAAAAGTTATATTCAGAATATAGGATTTTCCTTCGTACAGAATAAAGTGTAGGTTATGGTTGATGCTATAATCTTAAGGTCGAATTGTTGATTCACAATTTACTTTAATTTAAAGCTACTATAATCTAACCACCTCCAAAAGAAACTGTAGATAATTTTAAATATAAATAAACTTAATTTCTTATTCCACGTGTCTCCAAGGATGACTTTTAACTGTTTTTTGACCTCATGACTCAGGACACTAACTTTCAATTTTACGCATTATGTAACGTTTTAGATAATTTCCATCACCAAACATCCGTAATAAATATTACAGCCGATATGGCCACAAGCCAAATTTCAACAGTATTGCGCTGTTAACTACGAAATAGCTATTCGACCGTATAATATTTATTCCATTTATTCTTTAAAATAGCGCCTGAATAAAAAGAATAGCAATTGTATTATAATATGATATTGCTAATAATTTCTATATTATATGAAATATTAAGGATATGAATTCTCATACTACGAACTATTTAATAATAATTATAGAATTTAGTATTTTCTGTATATTTTATAGGAATATTAATAAAAATACTATGTACTTAACATAAAATAAATAAATCCGAAGGAGAATATTAAATGCTTGTAAAGGAATGTGCAAATGTGCCACTTCAAACAATTCATACAAGAGGAAGAAACAGGAAAAAGTAATGAGTGAGGTGAACAGTCAGTTGGATAAACATAGGGCAGGGTTAAGGACCGACGCACTTTGTATGGTGACCAAATTGTACATAAATACAAGGACATATATAACAATATTTTTGTTTATAGCCTAAATTATTTTTAAGTATAGTTTTATTTATTACAAACAAAGTGAAACTATGTAATGATTTTTTAAGATATTTTAAGTAATTTTAATTATTTTAGATAATAAATATTAATATCAAACAACTTTCGATATCAAATTTCATACATTTGGTGTATGATGAACACTATACAATCAGTCTCAATTATATATAAATAATATCCACCCTACATCATTGATGCTCACAATCACGAACACATTGTATGGTAATTATGAAGCATGTGTTGTTTTCAACGATCCGGGATTGGGACAGTTGTTTGAGGAAGTAGCCATTTAAAATACAAATGGTCTGCATTAGCAATCTGACACGAATTGGTCTCTAGTGGTAAAGCAATTGCTTTAGATTACATTGGTATAAAAGCATAAAGAAAATTCGCGTGTTGTTGTAGTATGACTATTTTAATAGGAAAAGTAATGTTTATAATATGTATGTACAATGGTTTTGGATTGTTTTATAAAAAGAGTAAAATATATGTACCTACGTATTGTTTTGTCACTTATATGATTTAAAATGTTTATGATATTTGATAATTTTATAAAAAGAAATGTATTTGAAATTCAATTTTAATATAATTTATTTGTGGAACAAAATAATTGGTTATTGTTAGAGGTATATTAGGGTATAGAAGATCAAAAAATTACCCCGAGTTGTCACCATGACACTAAATAAGGAGCATTAACAGTATTCATTCATAAATCTTCTCAAATGTAAGTATTTATGCAGGTTCTTGAATGAAACGGGAAACCTTTCGAGTGTAGCGTGATGGTGCAAACTTGTGTTAAGGATGTAGGCAGTTTTAGTATAGATATGTCAGCTATTTAACTTAGCTAAATAGAAACTTTAAATCAAAAAGCATTCCTATATATATAGAAATTTTGAATCATATCATTGTTGTCTACAAGTCATCCTAAATTTTTAATTCTTTCTTTAACAATATTTTACTTATTAATTAACTCAATATTCTGTTATAGCTGTTACCATTATTAAAAGCACCTTCTAAAAGCTTCTTTAGAACACTTTAAAATCTTTGATTGCATATGTATCTCAAATAAAAGTATAGTAAAATATGAATAATACGATAAATTTCATACGCTAAGCTGTAGATCCTATTTATAATTTTTAACACTACTTTCGATTTTAATATAGTATCAATAATTTAATTTAAAATCTTGATAGTCAAAACAAAACTTGTGTGTACAAACGTATAGTTAAAGGATGTCAGAATTAATTAATCGGCAAATAATTTTTTATTAATAACCTCAATAATTAATTATAAAGCTGTGGAACTGGGGTGACCATGTGCGGTAGAGTAATTTATACCTTTTAAAGATTTTAACTTTTAATAAGTTCATCATAATAACTTGAAATTCAAAGGAAATGTTTTTAATTTAAATAATTAGCAGAAATAAAATTAATATAAATATATTTATGATTAGAACCAAAAATTACGGGATAGATATAATTTAGTATCAGTAATGTTTTTAATAGATCATCTTTGTTTAACTTTGACGTTTAAGAAACAGTGATTGTCATACATTGAAATAGGCCAGGAATATTTTACCAATTCATAAGGGATTTCTGAAAAAGATCGAATATTTTGTGACGTATTTACAAATTTACGGTTTAAGGTATGTTTTTCGTCAATCGTAATCAGGTTTTTTTTGTCAAGCCCTATGACTTAAACGTCTTTTTATATTTTTCTAATGTCAACGTCAACGTCATATGTGAAATAAATGTATGTTGAATGTTGGTTAGCTTTGATCTAAGGCTTGGGTGGTCGATTGTAATCGCTTCTTCGAGGAAAAGACTTGCGTATTAATTTTAGCCTTATAACTACATGAGTTGTTTAACTAAGAAATCTTCATACAAACTGACGGAATAACTGACAGAAAAAGTGAAAGAAAAATGTTAATAGATGGAGTTCTTTCTTAAAAAAATAGGTACAAAAACATTATGTAGTCGCTTAATAATACATAAATGGTCCTAAAATTAATTTAAAATCATATTAAACTGACTATAATATTTGTGCCTATAATATTTTTTTTCTAAATTGGCTGTAAATAATTGCTTGCCGATTTACGTAACTTGTTCTGTCGTGTTCTATATGTATGGTATGTCAAAACCATAATCAAAATGGCTTCGAGCGTTCTGCGGGGCATTATGGAGTGTAAAATTTATAATCTAATTGATAGTTTGACTTCTCTAAGTATTGGAAAGACCCGAATGATATATAGTAAGAAAACGTAATTGATAAATAACCTATTTAAGGCGTAGTTTTTTATATTTAATCCTATTAGAAACTAATAAATAAAGCATTGAAATCTCATTCAGTTGGATTAAATCTCATTCACTGACTTATATAACTACGACCATATAATTTTAATTCATTTTTAATATTTAAATGTGGTATAATTTAAAAATATAGTAAATATATAAATGCTTCGCCTTAATAAAATAGCAAACTAAATTAATTTGCCTCATAACGTATGATGTCCTTTCTAATTGATTAATGACTACATCTGGTTTTCACTGTTATTATTGACCAATAAATTATTTTATTAGTCGATACAACAAAGAAATGATAT